TGTGTTGGAATATTCAGGCATAGTAGGAGGGCTAGGCTCTGGAGGTGACATAATGCCCTGGCTATTGTTGATTATGTTCTTACATTGGCATCTAATCATCTGGGTTTGGGATAGTAATAGTTCTAGTTGCTATTTCTGCACTTGCCTTTGTTACATAGATGATTTTTCTGTTTCCTCTGTGGTCTTGTGGTCTGTAGTTGAGCAGGGGGGTCTCTGACATAGTTAGGGGCAGTAGTTTGGTGGCCTGCATGATCTGTGATTCAACAGGGACTTTCTGCATGAGTTGAAGTCTGGTACGGGGCTGCAAGGAGAGGAGGGAGACTGGAGATAGTGTTTGGGATGGGGATGAACAGAGAGACCGGAGGAGGTCTGTGGACTGGCAGCCTACCTGGAGTTCTGGTGGCTGTGGTTTGTCATGGAATGTCTTAACATTTACTGATCTTTTAATATTCTAATAAAGTTTTAACATCAATAATTTAATCACTGGATAAGTTGTATATCCTCCCATTTGCTGTCAGGTTTGTTCCCATAATCTGTCCCCAAATTATGATTATTCTATGTCTTTGTGAAAATGAAGTAATTAGTATGATCTACTTTTATTTTTAAAAAGAATAAGTACTAATTACTAATAATATGAGTTGAAAATATGATCTATGAGAAAAATATATAGACAATCACAGTTTTGTTGTAAAATTGTCATTATTTTTTTGAAATTCAAAATGTGATCATCAGGCAGGTAACCATGACTACTAGTACATTAAAAGTAGGATTATTATTATCCTCATTTTGTAGCCCCTTCTAATTTGCTGTAGTTGTTTCTAGAAAACCTAAAGTTATTATTTTGTAAATATTGGTGAATCTATATTAAAGAGTATATTTTTTTACCTGCAACTATCTATATATCTCTGCATGATCATGACCTATCCGGAGAGACTCCTCTCCCAATGGAAAATAACAACAACAGCAATTAAGTTAAATTCTCATTCTCCATCTTTCACTTCCAATCTCCATCATGTTCTGGTCCAGGTAAGGAGGCAGGTTGATAAAACATTGGAAAGCCTGTGAAAATCTTTCCAGGTTGATAAATATAAAACTGCATCCACAAGGCTAAAGGGGAATCTATTATCCAGCATATACCAAGAGAAGTACTCTCCGGATAAAAAGCCAAGGTTCCACACTTGCTCATACCTAACACAGCTTTGCAGTCTTTATTCCTCTTTTGCTGATGCTAATATGTTTCCAAACTTCTGCAATTATCACAGGAGTAAAGCAGAGAAATGTGCTGTGCTTTCTACAACATTTCACAATCTCTCCTTGATAATAATGATGATGATGGACAGGAGTTTTATTTTCTGAAGTGCAGTCACCATATAAAACCAAATTATCAGATTTCAGGGCCAAAAAGGACATTTTGTGGGATGTAATAGTTATAAATCATCCCTTTCTAGAATACTGGAAGTTGCAGCTTTTAGCAAAGAAATATATCAAATGTAGTTTAATATTGATTTTTTTCTTAAAAAAATGTGTTTCAGCCACAAAGACCCCAAAGCTTAGTATATCTACATAGAATTCTTAAGCAGGCCACACTTATACTTTCCTCTTTATTTGACTGAGAAATATCTATGACATTACATTCAATTGATTTCTTGAATCTGACTCACTGACACAGGAATGTATCAGGTAAGCCTGTGGCCTCACAGCTAATGGGAAGATCAACCTGTGTGTATAGAAAGGAGTAAATGATGTATGAGAGGATGTAATGCCCCATAGAAATCCCTTTCTCAAGAAGAATAATCTGCATATGGCATCATATTTGATAATGCATGGCACTGTTATTTCAGTCAGGATTTATTGGACAGTGCTTAAAGACTTCAACAAAACAAAACTCAGCATAAACAATGACAGGCAACTGAATTATACCACCAATTTTCTCCTAAAATTCAAAGGGAAAAAAAATCAAAGAGAATCCGAATAAGGAAGAACAAGGAATAATTAGCATCAATCTGTAGTAGAATGTAATGCCATTTGTCATAGACATGGGTTGAATAGAATTTCATTCATGTTACAGATATTCAAATATCTGGTTAAAATCTGTAGATTTTAAAAATTCTGTATCTTTTAAAATATTCAAAGTAAAAATATGAATTTGCTATTTCTCTGTATAGTAGTACCATAAATTTTCTTTGTAGATCTCAGGTTTGTGGACATCACACAAGGACCTAAAACCTTAGCTCAGTAGCACTGTGCTCGTTACCTGACTATTGCTATTTGATCCTTCTAAAATAATCTCTCATCACACCACTTATCAGCATATACTAGTAGAAAAAAGCTATTTTCCAATTATCTTCACAGAAGTGTACGAGAAATAAGACAAGACACACGTAGAAGCTGTTTTCCCTCCTCTCTGTTTCTCTTCCCATTTCTAGAGTGCGGATGTGCTGGCCTTTTGACACCAGTTACTTCAAGAGAAAAAGGGCAAGAGTGTTGTTCAAAACAGTTCTCTCCGAAGTCTGACCTAAAGATAGAACCCATCTATCTCAATATTCTGAGTTATACAATGATAGCAAGTTTTTGTAGGGAGACTTTTCTACTCATGCATTCATTTTATCTGTCATTGGGTATTTATTGTGAGGGTTCTATGTATGGCCGTTTAACCTGTCCACACTTGGTGCAGAAGAAAATGTTTGGTCTTGTTTGTTACAACAGCAAAATGAAAAAAGAATTGAAATATTGTTCCAGACAATGTCAAAGGTCTGGCTAGAGGATTCAAGCTTCTGGCAATGACTGAGTTAAGTCTCGCCTCATAGATTCATAGATTCTAAAGGTATTTAGCTTGCCTTAAATGCCATAGACTTCTGAAGGTATTTAGCTCCCTTGAAACATGTGGCATTTAAAAATGTGTTGATAAGTGTTTCAGATGTTGATGTAGGAATAATAGTATTTTTGTTTTCCTTCTATGTTAAGTTTGTTCCCTTCAGTTTATATATAGCTCTGTAAGCCCATTTTTAGTGTATTGTGATAAAATCATGGGTTCTCAATGCAATATAACACACTTTTCCTGAAAGTTACATATATATTTTCAGTGGATAATAGGGAGTTATGAGAACATATGGAACTTCTCTTTTTCAAAGAGGAAACATGGCATAATGATAGCTCTATATCTCTGAAGTGACTGACAATGACTACTTCCCCACAGAGTATCTAAAATATATTATTGGTTATAACTTGCTCTTCAAACAAGTATGACGATGATTTACTCATTTTAGACTATCATGCCCAGAGACAGTTTTTAGGCTGGAAACATTGCTCAGTGGTTAAAACATTTGCCATATAATCATGAGGACAAGAGTTCAAATACATAGAACAAATGTAAATGTGTGGAGGGGATTGTAGCATGCATTGTATTACAGAGCTCAAAAGAAAGAAACAAGAGATCCCTAGAGTGAGTTGGTCATACAGAGTAGCCATAATGATGGGGTCTGAGTTCAAATGAGAGACATGGCTTTAATGAATAATACAGAATACAGAAGTCACCCAATGTCATCTGACACAACTACATACAAAGTTGCACACTTGTACACATATATCTACCTACATATGTACTCTTTCACATGAAGACATACACATTCACTCCTGCATATAAACATAGATATGCATGTCCATTCACAAGACACACACACACACACACACACACACACACTTGAGAAGAAGAAAAAATGCAACTTGTCTTATAGTTAGTTCCAAATCAGCTATCTAATTGTCATCACACCACAAGCTTTGAACAATATAGGAATGATAAAACCCACTTGAATATGTAAAAACCACAAAGATCATCAATTTTATAGTCTCCTTCCTTCCTTCCTTCCTTCCTTCCTTTCTTTCTTTCTTTCTTTCTTTCCTTTTTATATTTTCAGACATGGTTTCTCTGTGTAGTTTTGGTGCCTATCCTGGATCTCACTCTGTAGCCTAGGCTGGCATTGAACTCACAGTGATCCACCTGCCTCTGCCTCCTGAGTGTTGGGATTAAAGGCGTGTTCCACCACTGCCCAGCACCGGTGCTTCTTTTTTAATTTTCAAACATCAGAACAGTCGCAATGACCCAGGTATCATGAGTCCAAGTCCCAGAGTAGTTTTTTACATGTATTTTATTTATACTTTAGTCACTTACTTTTTTTGAAATTAGACTACAATTACATCATTTCTCCTTTCCCATTTCTCTATCCAAACCCATCCATATAACTTTCCTTTCTCACTTTCAAATTCAAACCCTCTCCTCTCATAATATTTGCTATATTCACACACACACACACACACACACACACACACACACACACACATCCTTAAATGTAACCTGCTCAGTATGTATAATGTTACTTGTATGTAGGTTTTTCAGGGCTAACCATTTGGTATTGAAAAACCAGTTGAAACCCTGGGGAAAACAATTTCTCCCACTTTCAGCATTCCTTAATTGCCTGTAGCCCTTTATCTAGGGTTGGAGCCTCCTGGGATTTCTCCAGTCTATGTTAGTATGTCTACTGTTTTAGCCTTTTTTGGCTCATGTTTAGATCATCATTTTGGTGAGAATTTATGGGTGGAACATCTCATACACTCTCACACAAAACTCCTTGATGATCAGACTCTTAAAATCCTTCACTCCACCCCTTCTGAGCCATAGATGCTAGAGTTATATTGTAAATAAATTCACTGGAACTAGGACCCACAATTCTGCATGTTGATTTATTGTGGTTTTTGACAATGGTCTCTGATGTTGCAAAGAGAATATTTCTTGATGAGGGTTGAGATTATACTTCTGTGGTTATACATAGTTTTTTTTTTACCTAAAATTTCAAAGCTTTTCAGTATATCACTCTCTCCTTACTAATAATTGTTAGATAACAGTTTGTAAAGTCAGATCCTCATTAAAAACCACTGATAAAAAACAAATCTAGGGAAAGTATCCTTCTTTCCTTTCTTCTGGGTATCGAGTGCTTGCTGTTGAAATGGGCAAGTTTGTGAAACCCAGGAAAGTTGTGCTGGTTTTAGCTAGATGTTGCTCTGGCTGCAAAGCTGTCATCATGAACAACATTGATGATGGCATCTCAGACCACCATTATAGCCTTGCCCTGGTGACTAGAATTGACTGCTATCCCCGAAAAATAACAGCTGCCATGGGCAAGAAGAAAATCACCAAAAGATCAAAGATCAAGACCCTAGTGAAAGTGTATAACTACAATCAACTCATTCCCACAAGGTACTCTGTGGACATCTCCTTGGACAAAACTGTTGTCAACAAGGATGTCTTTAGAGACCCAGCTGTGAAACACAAGGCCAGTTGGGAGGTCAAGGTCAAGTTTGAGGAATGATACAAGGCATGAAAGAACAAATGGTTTTTCCAGAAGCTTCAGTTTTAGGTATATTTTTGTTTCCATCATTAAAAACTAAATTTAAAAAAATCTACCATAATCTCTAAACTAAGCTTAAAATAAGGAAATCATTTTGAAGGAAGTGAAATTTCAAATGCAAACTCTACTTCATTTGATAAAGACCCAATATTTTTAATTTATTTATTAGTTTGTGTGTTTATTTGTTTATTTCTTCATTTATTTGAGACAGGCTCTCATTACATACTAACCCCAGTTGTCCTGGAACACTCTATATAGATCAAGCTGCCCTGTGAGCTTCTGAAATTAAAGGCATGTACCACTCTTCCAGGCCCAAATCTTATTAAATAGTCCAATTGCAATTCACATCCACCTGGGACATGGGTCAGGTAAACTTGTGAAATAAATCAGTTAGTGCTCATATGGAACTTCATAGTTCTTTTGTTCCAGTGACTGTATAGTTGTCCATTGAGAGGAGGCTGAAGCTTTCCAGATTCATGCTCTTTCTACCCTATAGTATGCGAGCTCCTGAAATTTCCCCTCTTGATTATAGAATTTAAAAGGATTGTGCACAGATGCTATTCTTCTTATATAAATGTGATTTAAAACCTGGATCCTGGCAATACTCCCACTTTGGATTCTGTGATTCTAGGGACAAAAAAGCTAATGGAATCCTGAGAATTATTGTTTATTAATCACAATATTCTAGCTGAATATCTTCAAAATTTACTTCAGAGCGGTTTGTCTTCAATGCTCCTTTCTTTACAGTTAAATTTTCCTTGCGTCCATATGATGTGCCTCTCTCTTATTGATAGCATGCGAGTATGCACCTAAAAACAGGTAGTACAGTGTCACCACACTAAAAGTAGGGGGAAAGAACCACAGACTGTGGTGTCTTGGAGTGCCTGAACATTATTAGTTGACTTAAGTGGAAGCATCTAGTCCTTCTCCGTGGAAACCTGTTGTGAGTCCTTTTTTTAAGATCAAAGTTCCTTTCTGTAACAAAAAAGTTAATTCCTTCATTGACATATGTCACCTGTGTCATTGGCCTCATTAACTGAAGCACATGGGTAACCTCATCGTTATAATTACTGACAGATTAAAAAAAAGAAGCATTATTTGTTGTAACTTTTATTTCTACACTACTAAGTCCAAGTGAAACATGCACATCTGCCAGCGATTAGCTTTGCAAAATGTGTCAGACAGGTAAACTGCAGGGAAATAATAGTGTTGGACAGATCAACCTGGCACAATGTTATCTGCAAACAGTCCTCTTTAAAAGAAAAAAATCTAAAATTACCCAATTGCAAATGCAACCTGATTTCAATCCAATCTTTGCCACAGCCTTTGGAGAGGTATTGTCTTGCAGCCTTTTCTTCTCTCTGCTTATACACAACAAGCAATCATTGTCCGCATCACCTACAAGAAATGTGAAAGAAAGCAGTATGTGACACTTGAAAAAGACATACCAAAGACAGCCACAGTAGGAGTTATGACCAGTTACAGAGATGCGTGGAAGATAAAGGAAAGATTCTGGCAAATGATGAATGGTTGGAGTTTTGAAAATCATCTCTGTGTTTACTGTATAAGAAGAGTTAATCACACCTCAAAGAAAGAACTCGTCATTGCAAAGCAGTAACTGCAACGAAATAGTTGTCCTGAGACTTTTGTTCAGAAAAACTGAAAAAATATCAATACTAACTACAACATAGCAATATCCCATACTATGAGAAGGACACCTTTTCAATGAAAGTATATATTTCCTTCTATTGTGTTTTGAACATCATATTAAAACAGAATTTTTGATCTTATAAGAAATGTGTCCTTTGCAGACTAGTATGGGACAAAAAGAAAGCTGATAGCTTCTAGTAATGGAATTGATTCAATTATGAAACTGAACTACTGGTTTGAGAAAGCATGGAGTTGGACAGGTACAGACATGTAGGGAATCATGAAATGCCTTCATTGTGCCTGGAAAAACCTCATCACAGAGAAACTGACATTTTCAATTTTAAAATCTCTCTTCCTCTTCCACAACTCCATTGTTCTTTGAACAGAAAGCTGCAGTGAACACAGTCTCAGTATTTTGTTTCAAACAAAGAAAAAAATAGGTGCTCAGATATTCAGTTTTAACCTCAGAGCAATGGAATGAACAGATCCTATTTCACTCCTGAAATACACATTAAATATTATCTCACGATTTTAATTTTATTTATTTTTATTATTTATATTTTTTTGAAATTATAATGTAATTACATAATTTTTTTTTCCTTTCCTCCATTCAAATATACCCACATGCCACATCCTTGCTATCTTTCAAATTAATGACTACATTTTTTATTAATTAGCTTTACATACATACATGTGTATAAATATATAGTCATAAGTATTCAAATACAACACATTTTGCATTCTTAATGTTACTTATATGTGTTTTTTTTTAGAGAGAAAACACTTTAATGGTGTTTATAAGGAATAGACTGATATTAAACCCCATAATTACCTGTTAGTTAAAGTCTGACATTAGCTGAGATGAAGGCATGGAAACTGTGGCTCCAGAAATAGAAGACAGACACTACCTTATGAATGGTAATTTATCAGTGAGAATTACCCACTGACAATAGGACCAGGATTTATCCCTAGTGCATGAATTGGCTTTCTGGAGCCCATTCCCTATAGAGGGATTCCTTACTCAGCTTTGATGCAGGGGCAAGGGGCTAGGCCCTTCCTCAACTTGGTAGTCCAGATTTTGTTGACTACCCAAGAAAGGTCTTACCCTCTCTGAGGAGTGGATGAGGGGTGATGTGGGAGGAAGGTGAGGGGTGAGCAGGAGAAGGGGAGGGAGGGGGAACTGTGGTTTGTATATAAAATGAAAAAAAAAAAAACTTTTAAATAAAATAAAGAAAAAAGAAAAAAATGAAGACAATTTGAAATGATCACCTTTTAGAAAATGTTTGTAATCTTGGATGGGAATCTATATATCTGTTCTGTCTTGCCAAACTGTCAAAATGAACTAAAGAACTGGTTCAAAAGTCTTCAGACTGTTGAAAAAAATTTTGATCCCATTGATCTATATTTTTAAAATAAGAAAGAGGATGATATACACAGAAAATTTATGGCAATGTTGATGCTCAGAATTGAAGAAGAGAAGATTATTTTCAGTGTGGAGAAAGAAAAACACAACGTGTGAGAAAACAAACAAACAAACCCAAACCCAAATTTATCTTTTGCAGACTGTTGACTTCCATGATGCATGTTGTAGTCCTACCCTGGCTTCTATTCTCCTAGAAACTATTTAATCAAGAATTTTTGAGATATGTTATTTATACTTTTATGAGGATATGAGGAAGAACTAAGGTAGATGTTCAGGTGAGGAAAACTATATCTTCTGACCCCAAAGGGTACAGAGGCAAACACACCATTATTTTCACTGGTGATATTAGGAGACAGGGTGGGGTTGCTAGTTCTACCATTTCTACCAAATTTTCCTACGAATTTTAGCCAGATTTTTTTTTCTTAGACTCGGGTTTAGAAATTAGTTCCAGCCGGGTGGTGGTGGCACACGCCTTTAATCCCAGCACTCAGGAGGCAGAGGCAGGCAGTTCTCTGTGAGTTGGAGGCCAGCCTGGGCTACCAAGTGAGTTCCAGGAAAATGCGCAAAACTACACAGAGAAACCCTGTCTCGAAAAACCAAAAAAAAGGAAAAAAAAGAAAGAAATTAGTTCCTACTAGAAGGTAAATTTATGTGAATGAGTATTCAAGCTTTCCACTGTATTGAGAACCCAGAGGTATAGGAAACCTCATAACTCTGGCAAAACTTACTTAAGGTTGCTTGTGTCCTTCTCCCGTTTCTCAGGTAATATTATATCCTTCTAAGGTCTTTGATGTAGTTGAAGACTAGATATTTATAATTTCCTCAGTTATGATAAAATGTAAGTTAGATAATGAAACCTTAGACTCACAAATATAGGAAAGATAGGATATCTTCTTTATTATTGTAACTATAATTCTTGCTTGATAATTGTTTTTTATATGTAATTTTTCTATGTTAAAGTTAAAACCTTCCTTGTGGAAAAAAATAAAAGAAAAGGGAAAGTGCTGTGGATATTGCTCTGTATAAATAAAATGCTGATTGGCCAGTAGCCAGGCAGGAAGTATAGGCAGGACAAGCAGAGAAGAGAATTGGAAGGCTGAGGCAGAGAGATGCTGCCAGCTGCCACCATGAAAAGATGTTAAGATACCAGTAAGGCACGAGCCATGTGGCAACTTATAGATTAATAGAGATTGGTTAATATAAGATATAAGAACTAGATAACAAGAAGCCTGCCATGGCCATACAGTTTGTAAGCAATATAAGTGTCTGTGTGTTTACTCGGTTGGGTCTAAGCAGCTGCGGGACTGGCAGGTGAGAGAGATTTGTCCTGACTGTGGGCTGGATAGGACTGGAGAAATCTTCAGCTACAGGCACACATGTGTATAAATGCATATCTTAAGGTATATGCAAGCTATAAATGACATACATGCGTCTAAATGTATAAATATACATATGCATATGATATGTGTGTATACATGAGTACATACATGTTATAGATTTTGTAAAATTTAAAAAATGAAAAGATGTTAAAGACAAGTTTTAAATATTTCTTTGATTTTCCAACTCAACTTCACATTCTTCAAAATTTCTTTTCTGTCAGACAAATGATAATAAAGAATTAATATTGTGAAAAGTGATTAAAGAAAACTCACACTCTCTGCTTTTCTCTCTCTCTCTAACACACAGACATACATGCATCTACACATATATTCATGTATATAATATATATATTCCTGTATATACACACATGTATATCATATATAGCATTATATACCTGCAGATACACACGTCTATCATATATATACTCACTCATGTATACATACACATACTTCATGTCTATAACATGTGTAGATATACATGTGCCATGTACTATATATATCACGTATAT